TTTCTTGCAAAGGCCTTGTTGTTCTAGAAAACATTTTAAAGTCATATAACACTGATTTCTTATGTATATTCAGTAAACTTAGATACCCCTCCTTACCGCATGTCCAAATCTGATGAGAACAGCCTTCTCATTCCACCTATCTGATGTATGGAACTAGTTGGCATTCAGAAAGCCACAATTTTTTCCCCTGATTTGGTAGCTTTTGACATGCAGGTGTTTAAAAATTAAGATATAAGTGTCTTGGGGCTTCGTGTTCTTCAGGACCTTCTCCTCCGGCTAGATTCTTACACAGTCTAGCCAGGAGGGGAGGTTCCAGATTCCTATTTCCCGGGAAACTGAGGGAGCTCAGTGGATGGGCTTTGCTGTGGCAGGCCCCTCCCTAAGGAAACTCTTGCCCCCCCCAAATCTGATTGGCTCACACCTTGCTACTCTTTAGAAGAGTGGTGGAAACCCCTTCTTCCATAGTGTTTCTGGTGAGGTCGATGTCAACTGTAGGTAGTGACGTTTTGAATAGGTGGTAGGAATGTTACTGATTTTGATGTGCCCTACCATGTATTTATGTAAGCTGCCTGGAGTTGAATGAATCAGGCAGTGTTTAAATGTATAAATCCATGATAAGACAATGACAGGAAAACCTCCTCCCTGCTTTTGTCAAAGGCAGAATCTTGCAAACTGCAAGAGGAATTTCCCGGCCGTATTTGTGGTGAGTTCGTGAAAGTGGAGTTTCTTCTTCCCAGATTTCCCATTTAGGCAATAACCTGCGAACGGACTCCCCTCCCAACTCTTGATGGTTCTCTTTTCCAGTCGTTCCCCAGTTTCCCCACACTCTCTTCCAGCTGCCAATATGATCCCCAATATTTCTGGTGAGACTGCTGGGAAAGAGAGGCAGTTCTGTGGGAAAATTCCCGTAGAGATGGCCTGGGTTGAAGCAGCTGCTCCAAGCTTTCCAGAAGACGCAGCTGCTCAGAACTTCATGGATGAAGACTTCACCCCAACACACACTGCACGCAGTCCATATCAATCAACACAGGGAGAGGAAAACAGCCTAACCACTTTGAAGAAACTAAACCAGGGGTGTCTGCAGTGGAGGTAAAAAAAACTCTAGATCA